CACACACTGGCCCAGCTAACCAATCACAACACACACTGGCCCAGCTAACCAATCACAACACACACTGGCCCAGCTAACCAATCACAGCACATTTCATATTTCAGAAGGCGGGCCTTCATTTGATACAGGAACTATTCGAGCCGTTCATGCCAGACTGGGGAGAGAGGTGTTGTAATAATGTAAAATATGTGAAAAATAATGTGTTTTTCGAACAACCTAGTATGAGAGCCTGTTCTAGTACACCCCCAAAACAAAATCAAGACTTTGCAAAAGAGCATAATAGGACCCCTTCAATGCTTCTTGGAAAAACAAATCGTTCTGTGCGATTTCAACGAGATTGTAGTTGTGTTGTGGATTTTGCTGAATTATTAAAATGTAGCCTAGATATTGCCTAGTTATCGGCATTAGTGTGAGCCACTAATATAGATTATACATCAATACTCAACCCATAATCTCACACTCTGAATCACCTAATGCCTATTTTTGGGTTTATGAATCAGAGTTTGACTGTGCTCATTGCCTCCTGTTCAGTCTTGTGTAATACAGTCGTGATTTAAGCTAAAAGAAGATTGTGCAGTCCAAGATATATGAGCAGTGGATTTGCTATGACTTTTGGAAACGCTGAATTTCGAATAAAAATGCCTTAATTCGCAAAAAAGTTTTTACGCTCGCTCAAAGTGGTTTTTGACTTGTGCGAAAAATGAGTTAATGCGAACAATGGGAGATGGAAATGCATTTTGCGAATAAATTCCTCCAAGCGCATCAAAAAAGTCATATGTGACTTTGCACGATGGGACGGCAAAACCTGACTAACCAGGGGACCGATCTCATTCCACAGTATCTGAAATGTTGTTATGGTCATTCGGAAATGCCTGAGCAAAGTCTGTCATCAAAATATTTCTGTATAATTGCCTACCAGAAATGTCTTACACGACTTTGCTCACAAACAGCAGCATCCACCTCCGAAAGCAATGACCGCATTCATTGTGTTTCGTCTGTTCGCTCCGAGGCGCAAGTAACTTATTATATAAGAAAATTATTATATTCAGTAGCTTCTCCTACTTTTCTTAGTGATTTATAGTGCCAGTTTATCAGGGAGTGACAATTTAGTTCTCTTTGACTCTGATTTGTTCGCAAATGTTTTATGCGATATTCTAATTTTGCGCATAAGTTAAATTCGCAACTTTGGATGGAAACCCAGAATAATGACTGACCTTGAACATCTGGTTTGCATAATGAATTGCAGATGTGACGCTGTACTTGGACTCTGTACTCCCTCTAGTGGCCGAAAGCTGTAATGCGAAATTTTTCAAATACGTTAAAATTTGGAAGCCGCAGAATTTGATCCAAAACGACGTAAAGTGCACAGAATATGTATAGTTTACCTACGACCTCATTGTTAAAGTGTTGCTATACAAAAAGTAAAGTTGCTATATAAAAAAATTATCATAATAAATCTTGTTTCTAAGATCAAAAAGTGTAATAAAATAAACATACCCAAGGTGCTTCAACTTTCAACTTTATTTTTCAGAAAAATGAATCCAAAAATGTTAAAATAAAATGCAAACATTCTGAAAAATTTCTACACAACAATTTCACAGAAATTACCTTGTAATGCAGATCCCTGTATTAGGCGTAATGTATTAGTGTCCTGTCTACGTTTTGTTTTAAATAGGCAGCCAGAAAGTACATCGAACCAGGAGAAGAAATAGAAGAAAGAAACATCTCAATTTAGGCTACTCTTTTAAAAAGGTGAAGTTTTACGCATAAGTTGGACTTTATAAGTCTCTGTATTTCTGATATGAAATAAAAACACGTCAAAGTTTTATGCCAGCTTGTAAACATGGTCGTTTGTATGTTGCAGATGCTTGTAAGTTACATAACGATACATCATTTCATACACTCAAGCTGCCCGTGTCAGTGTAAAACATTGTTTTCATCAAATATATGTAGCCAAACAAAATGCCGTCAAATATCCCCGAAAATCATTTCGACTCGTCTAGTTTGTAAAAATCGAATTTACAGTAACGCACGTACAATGGAAGTATATGGTGCAAGATATACCAGACTATGCAATAGCTGAAACTACAGCTATATTTTGTTTTTAAACGATTTTCGCAGAAAAATAGGCGTTATTTGAGCTGTAAAGCGGTCTAAACAACACTTTATCTATGGGACTACAGTTTAAGGTGGATGAATACCAACAAAGGTGGATTTTCTTTATGTAAACAGTAGTTCACTAATAGTTACGTCACGTTCGTTTCCGGTATCTTTTGCGTAACTTGCCATCTTTACCGTCTTTATGTGGTTCTTACAGCACTTGAAATAATTTATTCTACCACATTTGTCTCATGTTAACATCTAGAATGTTATATTTAGTGCCCCATATACTTCTGTTTTATGTCCTTCCTTTACTGTAAACACAATTTTTGTTCGTCTGTACAAACTGGGAAAGGAGTCAAACGTATTTTCTGTGGTAAAACATCCACTTTCGAGAGAGAAAAGAACCTGGAACATTTCTTTAGAAATGGAACAAACAATAGTGAAAACGTTGGACAAGTCCAGAATTCGATTAAAAAGCATTTATTTTCTTTCTAAACATGTTCTACTATTCATTCATCTCCATAAAACAACGCTATTTAGGGACTTACACAACCCAAGACAGCTAAACACCAGAACTCCTTCTTAACCCTGTATGGACCGCCATGTTAAATTTCATCAAAGAAAGGCACACAGCTTCTGAAGAACATCTTTATCCCACGGTTAAACTCTGTAGAAATGGATACTGCATCAAGTGGACAGAGATTACGTCTAGCCTAAAACCCAGACTAAAACAGCAGTCTGAAAGGTATTTCTGCATCTGTGAAACTAGCCAGTAAAGACTAAACCTCTTCTGAAATCAACCGGAAACGAGGAAAGGAAGCAGCTCAGACATACAGACAAATGCAAAGACGAATAATTTGAATTTCATAGCTCAGCAGGCCGTTCTTGGTCCAGTCGTGTCCAGAAGTTCAGCAGGACTTTAAGAAAGGAGTCGCCACATATCAAGTGTAAGAAGGCGTCACGTCTGAACAGGAAGTGACATTTACAGCTATATAAAAGCAGACGTCTAAGTACCAGCGCACATCTAAACCTTTAGACAATCATTTCAGCAGGTAATATCTTAAGTGCAACCATATTTATGTGACCCAAAGTGCCTGAGCTGCTAGCTTGGAGTAAAATTGAAACGATTTCCATTTCCTTTAAATGTTCAGTAATCACTCAAGTTTCACTTCTGACCTAACAGACAGAGATACATACAAATACACACTCGGTGAATGAGTCTCTGTGTCTCTTTCGAGTGTTGAGTTTGGACAGCAGCTTGGCAGTGTCACGGGTCCTCCTGTATGAGACGGGCCTCAGGAAAGGGTCCCAGAGACGCAACGGTTTGGTCCTTTAAGGTCCCGTTCTCGTGCCGAGTTAGTTTGAAGTCTCTCAGCGAGGTTCGGTTTTATCCTTTAGGAGTTTTACTGGACTGTGAGTTCCACATGCCTCTTTTAGAGTGATAGTAGTGAAAGAAGTTCCTCAGTCTTAAACGCTCAACCTCCAGACCGTTTTGCAAAACTCTGAAAAAGAGAGAGAGATTAATTTAATATTGAATGTATTTTTTTTTTAATTAATTTTTAATTATTTATAAATGATTTTAATATCTAATTTAAATGATAATGTCAATAATAATAATATATTCAATTATTATTCAATATCATAATTTAACTAATATTAATAATAAATTGTATTATTATGAATACTAACATATTATTATTATTATAACATCAAAACTAATGTCAATGTGAAAATGTCATTTCAATATTCGAATTTGATATAGTTATTACCAATAAAATATTTTATTATTTTTTATTCAATATCATAACTGTATAAGTAATATTAATAATAAAATAATATTTAATATGATTGATGATGATGTACTATAACATCACTGTGAAGATCTCAATTCACAATTTACAATCATAATTGTAATAATAATATAAATAAAATTATATCCATCTAACATATAACAACAACAACAACAATAATAATAATAATAATTATTATTATTATTATT